TACATGCAGTGAACGCTCAATTCTCTGTGGCAGGAAACCTGGTACTCTTCCGCCTCTTTGTCCCTTCTTGCTCCGGGGACCAGCTTCGAGTTTCACGGACTGCAGTTGCCAAATATGGCAGCCAAGTTCTTTGCACATTGCAGATCATGATGGGAGCGTAATTTGCACTCGATAGAGAGCCAATCCATGTTTACTCAAATGGCAAGTACCAGGATTCCACACACAGGGACGTGGCGTGGCACATGCATTGCTGTGTGTGCCTGCCGCTTGTCGCTGTGTGCCGAGATGGGCGCGCCCTGTTCAGTCGCTACAATTCATACTCTTGTACGTTCACAACATGTCGAACAATGGGCCAGATTTTGGCAAAGTGGTGGTGCACTGGTAGCACCGTACTTTGGTCCTAGGTGTGGCACTGGATTGACGTCAGCGTGGCTTGACAGTTGTCATCTGTCGGCAACGAAAAGGGTGCATTATTAATAGATAGGCAGCCTGCTGGAAAGCAAGCGGAATAGGAGAGCACAGGAGTTCGACACGCTGTTTCTTCTTCTGTTTCCAGAGCACGGCACTGTGATTATGGTCCTCGCCCTGTCCTGTATCTGGTGGTTTGCCACACTACTCTGTCTTCATGCGGATTGGTGGCGGCCCATATGCCTCGCTGCCAACGCACATAGAGGCAGGAGGACTCACACGAATTGGCACTGCTGTGAGCTGCGTGATCGTTCAAGCGTGTATGGCCTCTCGAGTCTGCTTCGCGTTATGCACACGCTGCTTGGGGCACTTCTGTGTCTGTACTCGCCGGGAAACATGGCAGAGCAACACACAGGACGACTGTGCGGAACCCGGTTTCGCATCGTGCACACACGAACCCTCTCCAATATCAGGAGGGTGAAAGCTCTTTCGGCTTGCGTGTGCAGGATGACGAATTGGGAGCTCAACGAATGGACTTTCTGAGCCTGAAGGAGTACGAGGAGGTGAGGGAGCTGATGGAACTGGGATACAGGCACGCCCAGCGATTGTACGACAGAGGCGCATTTGACAAATTCGACGTCAGCATGTGCCAACAGGGCTGGAGTTGGCGGCTGTTGCCGCAGTGGAGCTTCAGCTCGTAGAGCATCGTGGAACGTGACACATTGGGTCCAGATTCTTTATTCATTATTTTGTGCAAGGGCTGTTTTTCCTGCTGTTGCGCTGTGTTGATGGGGGGAACGAACCAGCAGATCCTGGTGCAGAATTGCTAAGTTGCCATCGCGGTGTGCGATTTAACAGCGCTGGAAAATGTCGAGGGGTAGGGGCCAGTGGGTGACCCGTCGTCGCCCATTTCGAGTCATGGCGGCAAACACGACTACCTGCAATGCACAGCATCGCACTCTTGGGCCGTTTGAGTGATTGCCGCAAAATTGATCTTGCCTGATTGACTGCATTTCGATGTTGCGCGTTTTCATTCCTTCAGTGCTTTTAAAATCCATGCGAACGCCACAAAATGCTGGTCATGTGGTGCAAAACACCTCGACGAGCCCTCCGCAGTACCTGCGACCGCCCTGTGACATTCATCCCGGCGACTGGCCATGTCCTGTCGCAGCCCCTCGATGCACTTCGGGGGGCCGGACACAGGCGCTGCAGCCCACAGATTGGAAATCCCACCATACTTCTTCGACGCTAAGCCAAGCGCAACCAGGGTGAAAAACATGGCCACATGACAGGGCAGACCATGAGTATAAGAGGGGACGGATGCCCGTTCCTTGGGCGGATGATCGTATCCAGGCACTGAACCCACATGCCAAGCCACATACATCGAGAGCTGTGGCAAAAGTCTGTGCCTTTGTGCTATCCAAATCACACCAGTCCCCATCGCATTGGAACACATTCCTTGTCTTTCAGCCGGCGACGAGCTACAATTCGCCGTTCATGCAATCATGGGATTGGCCGCCAGCTGCAATTGCAGTGCCATGTAATGAAAGAGAAATCGGCAAAAATTGTTACAAGTTAAACGATCCCCAATCCTGGCATGCAGTTGTATGTGGGGGTATGCGGTGCACCTGCCACTGTGTGAGGTCATGAATCAGCCCCCGAAGCCCGTCGCCAGCTTGCCCAAGAACGACTTGGGCTCAAAACGCTTCAGCAGCGGCTGCCACACACACCAAATGCCGCCACCTTGTTCTCAACATCCGCAGAACTACATGTTCACACCCATATATCCCCCGATCCTACCAAGCGATTCGGCAGTGCCCATCAGGTGTTGTGCATTGCTTAGATTGGGTAATGCAGCGTCGGCAAAATTGACACCCAGACGGCAGCTGTAAAGCTCTGAGGGGTGTGCCTTCTGGCCAAAACTGGAGTTCAAAACTTGAAACACAAGTTACGCTGCAAATGAAGATACGCCAGAGGTGCACATGCGCACCTCAAATCTGGGATCTTGTCGAATTTGCCGCAGATCTGGATCAGTTCGAAGCTGGTTGAAGTCATCGTAGCCCGTCTCCAGACAAGCTGGCATGCGACGCAACATCAAGAATTCACTCACGCACATTCTGTCAGATTCAGATATCTGCAAATCCTATCACTGAGCAGACAACTCGACAAAGATATCGGCAACGTCCCACATCCTGGATACGGGAAGGGCGCACACGGCCGATGCTATACCTACCCAGGACATCTCACTCCATAAGCTGAATGCACAGTTCCCCAACCATGTATGCGTCGGTATGCAGAGGTGCAAGTATTCTGAATTGAGGGCAATCAAAGGCCCGTTGGTTGTAGGTCCGACGTCCAGCCTATAAAGCCGAACCCCAGCCAGGCCCATGGTGGTAGGCCTTTTGCTGTGGCTTCAACATGAAGGTCCAACCCCAGTGCAGACCAAGTTTTACCTCAATTCGGGCCAGACTGCTCCCAGACTGGGCAGGGATCAGCTTGAACATCATAATAAACTATGCCGAGCCTTTCTCCCTATCTCTCTTAATCCAGGACACGTAACCCATTCTAAGTGACTTGTGTGAATCGGCCCAACCGCGAGGACGCTAGGGCAGCAACACAACTGGGCCCTGCGAACAGAGTCTTGCGATCCAGATCAAGCACAAAATCAGCCATCCATGGTGGCGACCATGATGGGGAGCAACAGGAGCATACATGCACCCCGAACTCCAACAAAATCAGTGTGCTACAGGAGGTGAGGGCTCCAAAAAGGAACGAGACCTCTGATTGAAGGTTACCCAGCATGCAGTGCCACAACAGACAACGGAGCTGACCCACACACAACTCTTGCGCGATCAAGAAAGCCAATAGCTCATTTGACCATTCTGCAAGCTCACAACACAACAATACTTGGCTTGCGTGATGCAACCGAGGTATCAGCTGTTGTTTCTGTATTGCACACAGAAATAACCATCCTTCTGACCACCCGCCAGCTTCTGAGCTTTTCTTGTACAAGTATCAAGTCCCTGACATATGACAAGTCACTGCTGGAAAAACTGCAACCGTTGTAAGGGTAAGCAACACCCTTGAATAAACTTGCCCCTCATCGCCTGGAAGGCGCAATTGCAGTCGCAGGCCTCTGCACCTTTAATAAGGAGGGTTCCGCACTGCAAACCAGAGAGCGGGCAGGACAACGCTCACCAGCAAGGGCCTGAAGCCCTGGCCTCACATCATTTTTCCCTGAGTAGCAGCATGCAATGTTGTACAGGGCAGCCATTTTCTCGCCTGTGCTTATCTCTGGAGGTTTGTTCCTGGCAATTTCACAACCACCCAAACTGTAGGTCAGCGGAGGGTTTTTGACAGGGAATGGCCAACAAAGTCTGCACATGGATGAGCCACTGGAACATCTGTGACTGCTTGTTCTCATGAGACGCAACAGCCAGTCTGGCATTCTTGCGCATCGCGTCAGAATGAATGCATGGACTGAAGGAAATCAGCCACAATAGGCATCTCTTTCAAGTCACCAATGGTCACCTCCAGGACCCCAAGGGCAAAGTTCCCCAAACATCAGAACCATGTCCGCAAATGCAATAAGAACAGCTGTCCTAGAGAGGGAGCAATGGCATTACCCCATGCATAGATATTTTTCTGGATTGTGTCAAATGTGTAGTGTAGCATACCATTGTGACCATTGGAATTTAACATGAAGCATGCGTAAATGCACCTTTCCAACTTCTGGTCAGGCAGCAGACTGATCAGAGGCAGCATGTGGCATCTCTGTCTGCCAATCTGTTCTCTGGTTCAAAAGAGCCAAACCATAGATGCACAGACTTACAGTCGACAGCTCGAAATTCAACCCCAGCACTGCACCTAAATCTCCGGATACCAGAGCCTGGAAGGTCCAAAGCTTGTTGAAACAGCGCCAGAGCATCATCAAATCTGCAAGTGCACAAAACTACCCTGTTATGTGTGCAGCTTGCTACAGCTCGGTTTTTTCAGCAACGGATGTGAAGGAGCAGCCGTAACTGCAATTTTATGCTGGTCCCAGTCCACGTGTGTTTTGAAATTCAACTGTTGACATCCAGCGGCTTCAGCTTGGATATCATACTTCAAGAATCTAAGCACAATTTGGCACAAGTTTGGCTGCATCACTGTCAGTCCAATACTATGTTAAACGTGGCAACATTTATAGTGCCACGGGCAAGGCCCATGCCACCCATCTAAAATGCTACTGACCTTCCTGATTCATATCTTTGCAAACCCATGATTATGGCAGTTTTTGCAGTGTCCGCAACATCATAGCTGTCAGTGCTGGCTTCGGCTCCATCTGTGTCGGCATTCCCACTGCTGGGCTCAGTTGCTTCTTCTGGGCCAAGATCTCTATTGCTGCATTCAGCTCCTTCTGTGTCAGCCTCCCCACTGCTGGCGTCTCTTGTTGAGCACTTTGCACTCCAGCTCTTGGCAGTTTGGATGTCAAAGATGCACTGTGTGTCTGGCCAACTCCGGTGGTGTTGGGGTATGCCCCTACAGAGAGATCACTACTGATTCAACTGGTGCTTGTGAGCAACACATGCACCCATTCATTGATACCGCTGGATCAGCCTGGAGGGCGTTCCCACAAATCATAACATCCTTGTTGATTCTTTGAATTGGTTATTGTGGTTTCATGGCCAGTGCTTATCCACTTCATTGCTTGTGCACATTCTGTTTCAAAGAAAATTGCAAGGCCCATATCTAAGTGCAGGTGCGGCAAACGATCCGTGCACGTTTGGGTCAAACCGCATGGCCACAAAAGACATACATAACACATGAACCACATGGGCACTGCAGGACCCTTTATGGATTGCGATTCCAGGTCACAGGGCAAAACAGGCATTTCCTGGCACAATGGACAGAGGTTTTGATTGCATTTACTTTCTTTACTGGACATCCATTGAATACTGATAAACAACACTGCAACCCAAGCAGCTGGTCATTGACTGCAACTGGATTTTGGGCCTATTTATTTGCACGGATGCTTTGCCATGGCTGCTGTGGGTCAACAACAAGCTAAAGGCTGTGATGTGACACCATTGTTATGATTCACGATTCAAAGAGACAGAAGCACCTATCAATAGTCACAATGGCACATTTTTTGTTAGGGTCGCTGTTCGTTTTGTGGAAGCAATGGTTGTGCATGGCAACTGTTCTCAGGGTTGTAACAAGGCTGATGAAAAGCATTGTCAGGCCAGGGGCCATCAAGTGAACGGGATCACCCTCGTAAATGTTGTGCCAGCTTGCGCACTGCTTAAAGGAAGAAGTAGCGAGAATAGTTCTGCCCAAGTTGAGCTAACGCTTGCCTCCTCGAGTCAGAATGCTGACACAAATTGAACACAGTTTTGGCACGTTTATTCAACTGCAAGTCTCCTGAAGAGGACCTCAGTGAAAAAGGGGAAGCGTTTGGATACAAGATCCGCATCACCGTGCATCTTCGCCCCCTGCTTGCTCCGTGCATTAGTGAACGGTCCACAAACCACAGCAAGTTTTTGCATCGTGATGCAGGGTTAAGATTAAGAACAAGAGCCATTGCGGGTGGGTGCGAGCCTTTCGGGCTGCACTGTTAGACACCGATAGACCCTGGGACGTGCTCTTCGACGCACCGCCCTGGGCAACAGCAACTACCGCCTGAAGGCTGGACCACCTCGCATGCAACCCAAAGACCACTCTCCGCAGCACCACCTCCAGACTGGGGCATCAGTTTCCAACGCAAGAAAACAAGAGGCGAGTGAGGACTGCGGTGTCGACGGTGAACGGCGGAAGGGCCTGTGCCGCCTGGCTTCCACTTGCACGAATTCTTATGTCTTCGTCCAGAGCGATTGGCGCCCTGCAAATATGGGTCGCGCTCGGCTGCGCGATTCTCGAGGGCTGTACCTGCGGTTCAGCAGCTTCGAGGGAACGGGGACCCTGGTCGCTCGAGCTTGATGCGCCCCAGCGACGGGGCGCGACGGCGACAGGTGCGCAACCTGCATCCTGGCAGCGAATGCCGAACACCCAATGGTGGGGCATAAAATTACTCCCTGCATCAAATCGGTGACTGCTTGCACGAAAACGGTGACTGCTTGCACCAAGTCACGTGCACATCATGTCCAACTCCGTCAAAACTAACCTAACCTAAAACCTAAACCCTAAAACCTAAACCTAAACCTTTCCTAACCCTAACCCTAACCCTAACCCTAAAACTCACCCTGAACTAAACCTAACCCTCAAACTGAGGTTAGGACAAAGTGTGCACGTGTCTTGGTGCAAGCAGTCACCGATTTGGTGCAGGCAGTAATAATATTTCCAATGGTGGAATGGTGTCGACTCCGTATCCCTGCTGTGACTGTCCCGGCAAAGATTTTCTCATTTTTATTTTTAGAAGTTTGGTTTGGGATCAGACTACACCGAAGGGCTGAAATACTCTTCAGGGAAAAGACAAGAGTTTCGGCAAAAGGAGCGCAGCACAAATCTGATACTGGAGGTAAAATTGTGTGTGTGTGTGTGTGTGTGTGTGTGTGTGTGTGTGTGTGTGTGGAGGCGGGGGGGGGATTAGGGGACGCCCTCTCACTTGTGTTCACATTTTGATGGTTCTCATGTAAAAGCTGCCACTGTTTTTTTTTTAGCAATTTTTATTTGTTTACAGGGAACTCACTTCTGCTGATTCTCAAGCCCCGCTCAACTGCCTCCGTGCAAAATTGATGTCTTGGAGCGAGGACATCAAGCAACATATGGGTGTCGCGCCGTCAGCTGCATATGCAACATGCATGTTCCCCATGCATGGAGATATCTTGACTTGTTCATAACGGGAATTGGAAGTTTGATGGGATAGAACTTTGCAAACAATCAGTATCGGAGTCCAGAGTTCGCGGCCCACGATGTACATACGTTCTGGAGGCTATTCGCGTCCCAAGTGAGATCATGCAAGGCACACAGTGTGCTCTCGTCGGCCCTTACCTCCCGCCGTTCAAGTGGAGGATCGCCCATCCTCACACGCACACACAAGCACCGCCTTCTGGCGGGGTCGCCCATGCATCAATCCCACACTCCAAACGTGCAACTGTGCTTGCATAGCACATTCTCTCTCAAGCATCCAATCACCCGTTGCATGAAGGAGCATGCTTTGTCACTCCGTTTCGGCGCTGTGGCGCTGTTTCTATCGAGCCTATATAGCCATACTGTAACGCGTTCGAAACATGCTTCTGGATCGGGAGGCCTGGAAACGGTGCATTCCGGTGTGGACATAAGCTGTGGAAATTCGTGGGGGAAGGCAACACAGTGAGTTTTCTGTCGCAACTTCGTCCGTGAGTGCTGCTCCAAAGTAAGACGCAGAAATTCGTTCTGATCAGCTCGATGCTTTGGCGAAGTACTCGCCAGCTGTCGTCCATTGCTCGATGGTCTCATGAAGATTGCTTTTGCGCTGTTCATCCATGCCTCTTTGGTGCTGGACTGGATTCCAACGCACCATGGTTAACAATCTCTCACTGCATGGGATAGCCCAGGTATGCCACTTGGTGACTGGGGCACTGCACTTACGGAGAGTCTAATAGACGGCCAGCCTCGACGAGACAATGCCAGTGCATCAGAAGATTGCCCGAGGGAATGCTCAGAGTGCGTTAAGGCATCAAAACACGCGCAGCACAGCTGCATCGATTCTTGAAGCAAAGAAAAGTAAGTGAGAGACTATTTCACTGAGAATTACCACAAATGCAGGAAAGGACAGCCAAATTTTCTAGGACATTAAGGATAAGCCTTTGAATGATGCGAGCACAAACTGCAACGGGGGAACATGATTTGACAGTCAACAGTAGCCCGCCATCAGTGGTTCCATCATGGCACCTCATTGTAACGGTATCCTGGCAGAAGGCTGGACATTCTGTACACCTTTGGGTCACGAGTCGTGTTGCCACCTTTTGTCAAGGCATTAAATTCCCCGAGCAAATGGGGCTGTGTTCCTGTAGGACCCCGGCTCCTTAATTATGGACAATTTCAGTTGTCCTTGACGGTTTGCTGCCCGATCGCAAACCACATTTCACGTGGAAACTGGATGGAAAAAGGCAGTGTGTACGGTTTGGGATGGTCTGAGGCTACAACCTTCGGAAACGATGAGGAAAGGAGTTTGTTTCTACGTTTCAGGCCCGTTTTATGGCCGATGCGAGGGTCCCAGGTTGGACGACGCCATACACGACGAGCAGTCCAAAAAAGAAGGCGTCGTGCTTGGAAGATTGGACACTCACGTGGATCCATGGGGACGCCGGCGTTTCGGCGAGCGCCCCAGTGTGTCGGGGGCGCGGTGATTCATTTGCTGTCAGCCGCGTCTGGGATCGTAGGATGGGTGCTGTCGTGTGCAAAGGGCCCGGGATATCCGAAGCGCCTGAGCCGCTGATGAAACTGGCCATTGCTTCCCTTCCACCGTTCTTGGGCGGCTGGCCACAACGGCATGCCTGTTACCGCAGGCGGCACCCAATTAGTCGCTCTGCCTCTTCCGTGAAGACCTCTTCTTGTTTCGGACGGCCCAAACCCTGAACCACTGACCCACAGACCGGCGTTGGCCTTGTCAGCGGAAGAAGACGGGTCTTCAAGGAAAAGACCAAGGGACTAATATGTTCTCTGCGGCAATAACACCGCGCACGCATTGGCCCATTGGGAGCCCAGCGGTATCCTTGCCGGGGGAAGGGAGTCCATCATCCGCTTGCACCACCGGGGCCGTGCGGCTTCCAAGCCACTGCCACCATCATCGACACCCCATCCCCAGCCCCCAGCGGGTCCTACTTCGCCTGGTCCTGGCCTTAACCTTGCAAATTGTCACGGCCCCCATCGTCAGCTCCGCGTCAACCCTTCCCTTCCCCGGACTGCGAACTGGCCCCGAGGCTGCGGCCCAGGCAGCCTGCCCGTCGTACAGGGCCCCACCCCCTGCCATCACTCCCCCCTCATAACACGAGCGATCAAACGGCAAGGCCACAGAGGGCGGCCGTGGCCGACACTCCAACACGCACTGGTAGCGCGAGCCCCTTCCGGCGCAGCGCCGCGGCCTGTCAAAATTTCCTTGCTCGACAGCTGCGCGCCGACGGTCTCTTGGTGCCCTGATTGGCCCGCCTCGCCCCGCGCTGACCTTGGGAAGGCGCTCGCTCGACATGGGGCCGGCGCGGGCGTTGCACGCGTGGGCGTGGCTGTGGATCCTGCTGCTGTGCGCGGCGGCGTGCGGCGGCGCCAGGGTGCGGCCATCCGAAGCGGTGCGGCGGAGGCTGCT